CACTTTCCCTCTGTTATATTTAACAGAGCTGGAAAGTAAAAACATATCAGTATAAATTTAATTCTTAATAATTCTTTTAAAAACTTATGTAAATATATAATGTTAAATATTGGTTGACAGTTGACATATAGAAATTTAAAAATATGAAATTTGACCAAGTTTTGTCAGGAAGAGATTTGTAGATAAGGAATTTTATGGTAATTTTAATAATAAAAAGTTGAGTATTCTGCCTTGGATTTCCTGTCATTTCTGCCATATAAGAAATGCAAAAGTTTAATATTATATTATAGTTGATCTGGTAGCAGAATATGTTAGATATTTTAATTAAAATGATTAGTTCATGAATTTAAATCTTGTGTCAAGTAAGGATGTTTATTTTTGTTTCATAGTTGCACATTTTCAAATACATAAATGGAGTATATGCTCTATAAGGTTTGTGATACAATAGCATAGAAAATAATCTTATAAATGAAATATTTCAATAAACCTATTGTAAACTAATTAAAAGTAATGTTTACTGTTGCTTTGATCTTATGCAAGACAATTATTTGCTCCAGATATATAAGATTCTAGTTGCAGAACTGATTTGTGTGATTTTAATGGAATTATCATTTATTTGAAAAGCATATTATAGCTTTTGTATATAAATTATTAATATAGTGTCTATTTAAAAATATTAACAACAAGAAGAAAAATAAATATTTATATATATAAACAATTACCAAGCCGAATATTTCTTGGGTTATACTTAAGCTAGCAATTCATTAAATGAACAAAGTAATTTGGCCTGAAGGTAAATGGTAAAATTTAATATAAGGTGGAAATCTAACAACCAATATTTATCCCAAATTACTTTGTTTAACCTAAGTATGGCTTAGAAACTTTGACAGTTAGATATTTGTACATTAATATATATATACTAGCTGCAAGGACCTGCTTTGCTGGGTTTTTATTTGTATGCAATATAGTTTTTTTTATATATAAAAGACTGTTTTTCTAAGTAATCTAGAATCTAGCTGCAAGGACCTGCTTTGCTGGGCAAAAAGTAATGATAGTGAAGATGAAGATAATTACATTATAGCCAATCTTACCCGTTTTCATAGAATGCAAGAATTAGGTCCCCCATTTCCAGACTAATTAGAGAATTTTTACATGAGTCTAAAAATATGTTTGATTTCCCGCAAAAACGCAAAAAACTGCCTGTAAATCTTGCATGCCGCTTTATATTAACACTTCCATTGTTACACATCTTTGAAGTCAACCACTTTCAATCCCATATCTCCCACACCCTTATAGCACAGAATGCAAGAATTTGGTTTCCCGTTTCCAGACTAATTAGAGAATTTTTATGTCCAGTCAAATGAACTATTTTCAATTTGATCAATTTTCTGGAATGTTTACAATCATTGTATAATCGAACCAATTCGAATACAAATTCTAATTTAAAACGGTTCAAACATTTTAAAAATCAAAATAGAAAATCTTCGAAGTCAACCACTTTAAGCCCTCATATCTTCCACATCCTTATAGCTATTGAGATGCAACCACCATAGTGCATGAATGGAGACTTTGGGCTACTACCTCATACAAACACCATTCATGTGCAATGTGTAGTTTTGGCTGAAAAGTGAAATATAGGGGGACACACGTCCATTTTTATTTATATATATATATATATATAGAGTTGTGAAGTAAAGGTATAGTCAATATTTCCTACCAGCTATTCCTTATTTATCTTGACAGAATTGGCAAATTAACTATTTTAATACCAAATAGGAATATATTATTGGTAAAAATAAATACACAGCAAAATATTATTGTCATTTATATTTATATGATTAACTGCACAACAAATAACTGAATGGATTAACTTTATACAGAAATACTGTACAAATATATATTTGAATAAAATAGGAATGAATTATTATTGGAAGTATAAAATATAATAAACAAATTATTAATATATTTTAAGATGAAAAGCAGAAATGTATACATATTCAATTATTAAATACAAAAAAAATTCCATTTTAACAAAAGAAATTGATATAAGAATAAAATAAAAATGAGATTTAAAGCTAATATAAGATAATGGTTAAATGATCTTGTTTTGTCATTTAATGACTTAAGGTTTGTAAATTGTTAGATAATGATATCAGATAATAGGATAATGACAAATGATATTGGATAATAGAAGAAGCATGACAAAATAAAATATAGCATTTCTTCAGTTATTATTATTCAGTTTATTCTAATTCAATAATATACACAGATGAGTAGAAAACATAACTGCAAATAATTATCTTAAGAACTTTTTATACACTGTAAATATGCAAATTCGAAATATTGAAATCTCCTTAAAAGCTTGAAACAAATGATACCACTGAAAATTTAATCTGTATATTCTTAAGTGATGAATTAGATGTTTCTTCTTATTGAGATGAGAAACTGTAATGCTGCTCAATAATTTGGTATAACTGTAAAAGTAACTTGTTTCCTTCTGCTGATGAGTTGGCTATAATTGATATAAAATCACCAACATGATGGCACTAAAGCTGCCAGAGTTAAAGATGCAATTTATCTTATCTTCCATTTAAAATTATCACATTCGAGTTAAAATTCTCATACATATATTAAAATATTAATCTTGGTTCTTTCCCAATTAAAGGAATCTGAGAATGTCATTCTGGTCCACTTCAGTAATAAAATACATACAATGTCTTCAGCGTATATATTGGTATTAGACTTGTTAAATGAAGTGTTTGTGTGATGATATCAAATTCTTTAAAAACTGAGAAAAGGGAAAAGTGGTCTGTCCACTGACAGAGCATATGAAATGCTGCTAGTCAGCACCAAATGTTGATGGTTGTCAACTATATTATATGTATTTATATTTTTTATATTATTATTATGTGATAAGAGTAAAAAAAAANAAGAGAATTGTAGTGAATGCAGATATGGCAAGAACCAAATAAACTGTCAAATTATTGTTATAATATGGCTATGTAATTAATAAATAATAAATAATTTATTTTAATACACTCAAACACATGAACAATGGCCACAAACGGAAAAAATGGATGTTGCTCGTAGGTCATTTTGTATGCATTTTTGTTCAAATAAGTTCCTGAAAGAAATGGCCGCTGTTTAGGAAGTGACCTGTTTATTACAGGTTCTACTATGTTTTAAAATTGCTAAGTATTGTTGGGATAGTTAAAGTTTTCTCGACATTAAATTAATTAGATTTTTAATATTTCAATAGACTTGTCTCAAGTTTTATTGATTAATAATAAGGTCTGACCCGCAATGGGGACAACCGTCACGAGTGAAAAATGGAGCACAATGTACTAAATTATTATGAAAAATTATAGTGATTAGAAAGATAAAGTATGTAAAAATTATTTAGCATATATATTTTTGTATAAAAATAAAAGACATTGCCATTAATAAAAGTAAGAATACTTTGTACCTGTACTTCTTAGTATATGCTTACTTGAAACTTGCGCGTGCTTTCATTTTCTTCACATTTATACTCATGCTTTATCAATCACTTTTGTTATACGAAACTGTTATACATTATTAGTAAGCTTAAATTATATTTTACTGTCTTTTCAACGTTATCCGTATTTAATGACGAAAAGAAATATTTTCACTATTGGCTTACCTATTGGCGCAATGGATTGCAAGGTCATTTTTATCTGGGAGGCTTTGACCATCGAGAAACTAGAGCCCTGCAACAAGCCCACACGCTCCCAAGGCTATGGCTCAACGCTGTATAACTTTTTAACGAAGTAATGTATAAAGACCACTACTTCTACAATGTAATTCATTTTCGCTGATCTATTTTACCATTCTTCACTAATCTAACCGACCCATTGGAGTATGGACCTGGCCGAACCCACAATGGGCTTGATTTCGTGTCTACGGGGAGGAAATAGTAAAAAAGCTATTAATTATCATATTTCGTCAAAGCAAAATTAATAAAAATAGTAAATAAATGTTTAAAGATATTTTAAATTAAAGAAAAACTTCATGTGAATGTAAAAAGCATGATAACACATCTATATTTCTTTTAATCTTTTATGTATCATTTAATTCATACAATATCTGTGAATAAAGAAATATATTTTAAGCCAAGAGTAATATCTTTAAGAAAATAGGAAACATAATAATATTGTTTTTAAATACGCTGAATCACAATGAAATTTTCAAAAAATTTGTTTTTGTTAGTAAAATTATACTTTTTTATTATGATTTCTACCAGAGTTTCTTTGTATTACTGTGATTTGCAGAAATTTGACTTATTATTGCATTATTAATTCACGAAATAAGTAATATTTTTTAAAAAATTGTTTGGCCAAGCCTATAATAAAATGGCCGAATTAGTTACGGCGTTACCCTACCACATTTCGGGACCCGAGATCTAATTCCGGGAAGCAATTTTTTGGGAGCTGATTATATCTCTGGATCTTAAAGATACAAAGAAAATTATGCTTTTTTTTTTAAAAAAGAAATCTTTCCTCTTTATGGGCACTAAGAGAGCCTCTTTTAGCAAACCCATTATGGGTTTGGCCAGGCCCACAATGGAGCGGCCGAGTGGTTAGGGACGGGGGCCCACCATATTCGAACGGACTACCCCCAAAAACTGTGTTTTAAAAACACTTCAAAAATAAAAATATTTTTCAAAATAACTTTTTATTTTTTTTAAGCTTCCAGAAAGAAAAATAAACGTAATAATTTATTAATTCCGCAAACTCACACGTTCAGATGTCCTTCTGCCTCCGTGCGGACAAACACGAAATTACCGATAATTGTTTTAAATACACGAGTTAATTTGAAATTAGCAATTAACAAACAAGAAACAAAAGATAAAATAATTAATTTTAAAAAAATGTATATAGTATTTTATGTGAGAAATTTATTTAATATACTTTATTTATTATATAAAATACGGGTGTATAACGATTACATTATATAACGTGGTAAAAGTTTCGATAGATTAAAAGAAACATAAAACGTCATAATAGTGTGATAGACAGGAAGGGTGGAGAAAATTCATCAAATTAAACGGGTTCGTCAGCCTCAACCTAGCGGGTGTTGAACCGAACCGGAGTTAATTCACAACATCTCGTTCGAAAAACCGGCCTAGATCTATGGCTCCTCCTGGTGTTAAAACCCGGAACTGGAGTCACCAAAGTTTGATTACGGAAAATGGCTAGTCGATGATGGATAAGTTAATGCATTGGTGCGTTCATAGAGCAAAATTTAAACGTTTTGCTAAAATACTTGCTATTCTTTTAACTTTAATAATATTCCAAGAAAACGTACGAGAAGCTGTAGCATCGAATACGTCGTCTTGCCATAATATTGTGTGTTTAAATGGATATTGCCAAGACGGACGTTGTCTGTGTGATCGAGGTTGGCAAGGTTCGTCTTGTCATCGATGCGGAGGACGGGTTAGGTAATGGCCTTTATAACTTATTATATCCACAATAACATCTGTTAAACTTATACAAATTCTATTTCCTCAATCATATCTTTCTCACAAGTAATTTCACATTACATGATCCACTATCAGTTACCATTACATATATTGTATCAATCTACATGTATATAAAAGGATAATTCTTCTTTATACAATTATTGAAACAATACATAACTGCATTTAAATCTAATTCACATTATATACTTTACCCAAATACTAATTACATTTAGAAAAACTGTATAAAGGATTTACCCATTTAGTTCCTTTAAATATGATTTAATGTATCATTTCTTTGAAATTATATACAAATGAGATGGTGAGATTTATATTAAGATTCAATTCTGTTTAAATATTATCATCATTTGATATAATTTTAAAGATGCAACATTTGATTCGTGACACTTTCTTTATTTTCAGTTAATTTGGTTGAAATGTAATTATATAATGAAAAAATTATGTTATTAGAAAAATGATTGGAGGATATTGAAGTTTTTAACCAATTAAATGTATATTTTTTGATTTTTTTTAAATTATATAATTTTGTAATAGTTAAAAGATATTTTAAGATTATCCATTGATATTACATTGGCAAAATTACTAATAGGGAAATATTAATCATAATATATCTTTGTCCTGTAAATAAAATTATGAACTTTGAAATGTTTGCTTCTATGATGATCTACGTGTTTTACGGTTTCCTAATTTGTAGCTTCTAATTTAATTTATAAGTAATTTCAAAATGTGAATGTGATTATTTCATTGTCACGCTTTCAAAAAATGTATTTAAATGATGATTTAAATTTGAAATTAATTTATATATTTAATTTAGCTATACTTAAAATAACACTAAAAAATTTTATATAATGTAATTAATGATTGATTAATATTTTTTTCTGTAAAATCATTCTATTTACATCACTATTATTATTATGTTATGATTCTATTAATACATATGATAGTTATAAGTGGATAATTTTATGCAACTGGTGTAGAATAACTTAAATTTGGATATTTTGATTAATATAAAATTGTAATATTAACTCATTTGTATTTTATATTCTTTTAATGAAAGACTGATATTATATTTTATACAATTTTTCAAAAAGTTTCCATGAGTTTTCCTTTATCTTTTATAATTCAACTATGGCACATGAAAGAATTTCTAATATTTCATCATAGGAAAACTATTAAAAATAGTTCTAAAATACTAAATACAGTAGACCCCCTTATAACACTGTAGATAATTCCGTGTTATATGAATTCCATGTTATACGAGTCACTTCGATTGTACAAATACGTGTGCCGAGCTGTGAACGGCTCACGTATTTGTAAAATCTAAGTGACTCGTACAACATGGAATTCATATAACACGGAATTATCTACAGTGTTATAGGGGGGTCTACTGTATCTGTTTTTATGTACTTTAAGCCTATATATTAATTTTTACTGATGTGGATTTGACACTATTTAGGACTGAACAAGATGGTATATTACCTTTTGAGATATTCATTCAAGTTTAGGTTAGCATTAATCATTCTACAGCCATTTCATTTTAATCCATCTACAACCATTATGGCAGAAAACTAACAGCTGACTCAGAATGGCATGGATCAGAGTATGCTTATTTAAAACAATGCTTGCAATGGTTGAATACCAATGCTGATGCATTGTATTTTGTCCCATGCTCTAAATATTACCTTAATTTATGCAATGATTTATTAAACTAATATAATGTACTGTACATTTATTATTTTAGGTAAAGGGTAACTTTGAAAAGTTGAATCAGGCTTAAATTATACATGAAATAAATGTATATCAGTTTACAGACTTGAATTTGTAATTTGAGAAGTATTCTGTGATATACTAATTGTAATGATGATCCAGAATTATACAAATTCTCCAAATTTTTTTAAATTTTGAAATACTTTAAATGTTTTCAATCTTAATTTTATAACATTAACTAGGCCTATTTCTAGTTAATGATAGTTATGATTATGGTTTCTTTTTAAGATAATTCTGATATAAAGCATTATTGTGTTTCTTTAATTCTTTTATAATTTCATCAATTTATTTTTAAGTTAAGATTGGTAGATTAGAATAACAAAATATGTTTTATCATTTGAAAAACTAAATTCAATTATTTGAATACCTTCTAATTTAAATGTTCACTTTTTAAAAGTTTTATGGCACACGTAATTTACTCAAATTTATAGAAATAATGTTTTATTTATAACCATACAAATGTATATTCCATATTAGAATAATTTGTAATTTTTTAGCTTATACATATAGATTTTATACAGTTAAGATAGTATCTTTATTTACAGTAGTGGCCATGGAAATTGCAATATAATAAAAGTGCTCAACAGCTCAATGTGCAAAGTAGTATATTTAAGCTATGATCCAAGAAGCTCAAAATCTAGAGTTTTGCAATACAGCTGAAACTGAATGTAATTTCTGGTTTTTATACTATCAGTATAACAGAAACCAGTCTAAAAACATATTTGTAAAATATCTTAACTCATTCATTTCTGTTCAGTTTTTCAATTATAATTTAATCAATAACAAAGCATTTTTTAAGGTGCATCATCAAATTGTAAGTTGTTCTAATGGGTAACTTAAGCTTTGGATCAAAATTTAGATTTTTTTAATAACAAACATTTAAATGGAACCCCTACACATTAATTTGGATTGGATTGGATGCAAATTACTGTGTGGAGTTCCATATAAATGCTTGTTGTTAAAAAAATTTTACTGATTTGTTCTTATGTAATGTATTGCTAGCTTTACATCTTGTTCTTAACATTTTTGAAAATGTTGAATGCAAAAATATGTAATACTGAATTATGCAATTATTTGTAATTAACAGTAATGTTAGCTTGGCAAATAAGATGTTTTGAAGCAGTCCATTTGTAGTCTGTATTCTGTCTATTTACAATGGGTCTGTGAATGCAGTGCTATAAAACATCTTATAACTTCTTTGTGCACACCAGTGTGTGTATAATAAATAAATAAAATCTACTTACTTGAGCCTCTTACTGTTGTGAAGAAATACAAAATAAGCAACTTTGAAAAAACAAACGTTTTTTGAGTTATTTGCCAAGTTAATTCCAGCAGTCAAGGAATAATTTTTTTACACAAAATCCTGCATCTTCAGAATTAATCTGCATCTTATATCACTGTGTGAAGATGGTAAGTAAAGTAAGTGTCCTTTCTCTACAGTTTGTTAGCATTATTATCATTTAAGCTGAGACACAAGTTGCTGTTTAGGTATTTCAAAAATTCCTACTAAATGTCCAGCCAGATCAGATGCCTAGCCAGTCCTGATCTCAATCAGGACTGTTATCTGGCTGGCTAGGCATCTGATCTGGACCTTTTCTCAACCCTAAAGAGAACTGCTGGCATATTATGGGCTTAAAAATTGCAAAGAAGCCTAAGAATAATGAGCAACTGCAGAAATGTGTTAGAAGAGTTTGGTATCATGAGCTTGGTATAGCAAACTTGAAGAAATCACCATTTTCTGCTAGAGTACTGCAAAACTGGTAAGGTTTGAGTTGGTCCTAAGATTATTAGGATTCTATTCAATGAGAAATAATTAAACTTTATCACAACACTGTAAAAAAATGTCCAGGAAACTACACCATCCCCAAGTATCTGCATAAGTCACTTTGCATGGGGAAGAAAGACTGGATCCTAAAGACAGAGCTCCTGTCACGTACAACTTGTATTTACATAAGCTGTACTCTGAGATTGCTAGGAAGAAACACATCAGCATCACATATAGGAGATGTCCTAGTCTATTTAAGCTACTTCGTAATGCTAAGGATACTCCCAACCAGGACATGCTGTCGGGAGTATATCTCATCCTGCTAAAGAATCATAGGTGTGATGAGGATTTAATATACATTGGCTCCACTAAGCACTCCTTAGGAGTGAGACTAAAGGAACACAAGGCTGACATACAGCACAAGAGAGTAACAATTGCTCTAGCTTGTTATTCTACAGATCCTGATATCTATCCAATGTTTAAGGAAGCCATCTCAAATGCTCCATATGAGGCGTGGTGTGGATGATCCATCCACACCACGCCTCATATGGAGCATTTGAGATGGATGGAGGCAATTTATATATACAGAGCTGGCCAAGATAACAAATGTATTAACAATAAAGACGAATTATCCCTATCCCTAGCATGGCAATCTAGACAGAAAAAATCTAAATAAATAAATAAAATTTTTTTGCTTCCGAGGAATGCGCATGCCCGTTGATGACGATAGCCACAAGAATTATCGTTAGATTTGATAATCAAGACTCTTTCAAATTTTTATGTTTTCCATTGAATAATTTTTACAAATGTCACACCGTAAAAGATTTGTGGGTTTATATTTTCGAGAAATAATTGTTTGTATTATATTTTTCAGCTTTATTTTATTGCTGTGAACCCTTCTTGTTTTTGTTCCCATAACTGTGAAGAGCAAGTTCCTGTGACAGTGCTCATTAACAGTATTGATGAGGCTGTAATGTGAATTAACAGTTACTGGTATTTAAGTTCAGTGTAGTAGCCTATTTATATGTAATAAATTGCAGTTTTTTGATTTATTCTTCTTGATTTCTCTACTACTACTACTACTACTACTACTACTACTACTACTAGTTATGATTATAGTTTAAATATGCTACTTTGCATATCTGTTGAGTGATTTTTGATATATATCATAGGTGATGCAATTTCCATCGCTACTACTATATATAAAAAGATTCATATTCTCAATCTACGATGTTGTTATTTTATTGCAAGCTAATACAATAAAAAAAATCAAACATTTTAATCAAAATATACAAAATTTAATAGATACAAACAATAATATATGAAAATTAATTAGATGATGCTAATCCAGCAACAAATTACTTAACTTTCTGGCAATATTTTGCCAGAAAAGTTAAGCAGTTTGTTGCTGAATTTTATAATAATTAAAAATATTATATTTTTAATTATTATAAAATGAAAAAAAGCTTAATTTTGAGAGTAGGGATGAGTTTTATAAAAAAAATTTTTAAATGCTAATAATGAGTAAAATCGTTATTAAGTTCACTCCTTCTTAAGATATGATGCATGACCCCCCTCTGTCTTCCCACCCCTTGACTTTTAATTACCAATTTTTAATGGCATCAGTCCCCCTAATAAACAAACCTCCCTGCAAAATTTCAGAAATTTTCAACAAAAAGCACAGGAGTTATTAAGCTTCGAAGAGGGTGAACAAAATCATGCCTTACACATACACACTAACAACCAGTATATACGTACATATAGAAAACATCCACAAATTTTTCTGCATTTCTCAATGTTTTAATCCAGTTCAATCCAAAAGCGTAAAAATCTTGGAGTAATTTTTTTGACCAATCACCACACTTTCCCTCTGTTATATTTAACAGAGCTGGAAAGTAAAAACATATCAGTATAAATTTAATTCTTAATAATTCTTTTAAAAACTTATGTAAATATATAATGTTAAATATTGGTTGACAGTTGACATATAGAAATTTAAAAATATGAAATTTGACCAAGTTTTGTCAGGAAGAGATTTGTAGATAAGGAATTTTATGGTAATTTTAATAATAAAAAGTTGAGTATTCTGCCTTGGATTTCCTGTCATTTCTGCCATATAAGAAATGCAAAAGTTTAATATTATATTATAGTTGATCTGGTAGCAGAATATGTTAGATATTTTAATTAAAATGATTAGTTCATGAATTTAAATCTTGTGTCAAGTAAGGATGTTTATTTTTGTTTCATAGTTGCACATTTTCAAATACATAAATGGAGTATATGCTCTATAAGGTTTGTGATACAATAGCATAGAAAATAATCTTATAAATGAAATATTTCAATAAACCTATTGTAAACTAATTAAAAGTAATGTTTACTGTTGCTTTGATCTTATGCAAGACAATTATTTGCTCCAGATATATAAGATTCTAGTTGCAGAACTGATTTGTGTGATTTTAATGGAATTATCATTTATTTGAAAAGCATATTATAGCTTTTGTATATAAATTATTAATATAGTGTCTATTTAAAAATATTAACAACAAGAAGAAAAATAAATATTTATATATATAAACAATTACCAAGCCGAATATTTCTTGGGTTATACTTAAGCTAGCAATTCATTAAATGAACAAAGTAATTTGGCCTGAAGGTAAATGGTAAAATTTAATATAAGGTGGAAATCTAACAACCAATATTTATCCCAAATTACTTTGTTTAACCTAAGTATGGCTTAGAAACTTTGACAGTTAGATATTTGTACATTAATATATATATACTAGCTGCAAGGACCTGCTTTGCTGGGTTTTTATTTGTATGCAATATAGTTTTTTTTATATATAAAAGACTGTTTTTCTAAGTAATCTAGAATCTAGCTGCAAGGACCTGCTTTGCTGGGCAAAAAGTAATGATAGTGAAGATGAAGATAATTACATTATAGCCAATCTTACCCGTTTTCATAGAATGCAAGAATTAGGTCCCCCATTTCCAGACTAATTAGAGAATTTTTACATGAGTCTAAAAATATGTTTGATTTCCCGCAAAAATGNAGAAGCTGATACGTGAAAGTATCTGCTAGAAGTTGGGTAGACATTAATTGATAATACAGTATTCACAGTTACTGTTAGAAGGTAAGAATGATAAGATTTGTTATAATACAGTTAGCTTTTCTGACTGTAGCTCTTGCAGAAAATATTGTCACACACAACTGCTGTAAGTATCGAATTCTCCTTTATTTTTAATTATTTTTTTTTTACATTTGATTTCAATAATAATCAAGAAATGCTATTGTAGCTTCAGCAGCACAGAATTTCTCCATAAGTCATTTAAGTGTCGATCACTTACCCATAAAAATTGGAAATAATGTAACTATAAATTTCGATGCCAAATCTTTAATGAATGTTCAAGAAGGCACCAAAGTAGAAGTCAGTGTTACGTATATACTTTTCACACTTTCTTGCTCGAATTATGAAAAATTCTGGTGTGTATCGCTTTATTTCATCAATAAATTTTCGATAAAATCAATTTTTAATATAATTTTTTTTTTTACTTTTAAACAGTTTCGATGTTTGTAAAATAGTAAAAGAAGGTTCTGTTGATTGCTTAATTAATGGCCAACCTTGTAAACAGTGTCCTATCAAACCTGGAAATGTACAGGTTCGACGTCTTGTAGTTGAGACCCCAAGTGTGCCACTGGTAATTATATTTTAAGGTTTAATTTAGTTTAGTTTTTATTCGCGATCAACTGAGGGATGACATTCGGGTGGTCTTTTATGGGAAATTGGCCCTTATTTAGGTGTTACTAATAAAGAAAACTTGGAAAACTCCACTTAATTAGCAGTTGAACATGAGTGAACCCAGGACCACAACTACTAGTATTCAGTGGTTTTTTTTTAATCCACTCGGCTAGTAGTGGGCACAAATTTAATAATATAAATCTTAAAGAACTGATTCAAAATTAACAGGAAAATCTTAAAACTTTTAGTTAAATACAGTCGACCCCCCTATAACATTGTTGATAATTCCGTGTTATATGAATTCCATGTTGTACGAGTCACTTAGATTTTACAAATACATGAGCCGTTCACAGCCCGGCACTCGTATATGTAAAATCTAAGTGACTCGTACAACACGGAATTCATATAACACGGAATTATCAACAATGTTATAGGGGGTCGACTGTATTTAACTAAAAGTTTTAAGATTTTCCTGTTAATTTTGAATCAGTTCTTTAAGATTTATATTATTAAATTTGTGCCCACTACTAGCCGAGTGGATTAAAAAAAAACCACTGAATACTAGTAGTTGTGGTCCTGGGTTCACTCATGTTCAACTGCTAATTAAGTGGAGTTTTCCAAGTTTTCTTTATTAGTAACACCTAAATAAGGGCCAATTTCCCATAAAAGACCACCCGAATGTCATCCCTCAGTTGATCGCGAATAAAAACTAAACTAAATTAAACCTTAAAATATAATTACCAGTGGCACACTTGGGGTCTCAACTACAAGACGTCGAACCTGTACATTTCCAGGTTTGATAGGACACTGTTTACAAGGTTGGCCATTAATTAAGCAATCAACAGAACCTTCTTTTACTATTTTACAAACATCGAAACTGTTTAAAAGTAAAAAAAAAAATTATATTAAAATCATATTTTCCCCCGCAAATATGTGATAAGAGTAAAAAAAAAAATTATATGATTAAATGATAATATAACAATAATGGTATCTCACAAAATAGTGCCTTTAGTGAACATACTCTCATTTTTAGTGAAGCTGGAAGTATTTATAACAACCAACAAAATTGCTTACTTCTTACAAATGCAGAAGTATTACTGTTCCTTTATTACAATTTATCACTCTTGAATTGTGATTATTAATAAATTTATTAATAAGATTATTTATTAAAGTTATATTTGTTTCAGAAAAGAATAAACAACAACATTTTTAAATGTTGTTTTCATTTTATTTTGTGTTTTATTTTTTCCTTCCTTCTCTCTCACCCTCCCCCAACTAAAATGAGGTTATTTGGCCAAATAATTTGGCTTTGAGAAAGTATTCAGTCTGAATGCTGAATACATATATTTAGTATTCAACTTAATACTGAATAGTTACTTTATGATTGAATATAGCCAAATGCAATAAAAGATTTTATCCAATACTATTAATTTATAATTAATTATTTCATAAAAAATATATTAATATAAAAAAAAGTAACCAAACTAACTAGTCAATCTAATCTACGTAGTAATTCTTTAAAAATTATTTAATAAAAAAAATCATTTTAAATATCTAAAATCTTTTTATACATTTTTAAATTTAACTGAAAAATATGCAATACAGTGGTTATAGAATTAATAATCAAATGGTTGTGACAAATTGGAAATTCTCAGCTGACTCATCAATATAATTTTAAGAGTGAGGACCAATTGATAAGTCATGAATATCCCTATGTTTTTAGCAATAAACACATACTAATAGAATGCTTTGAGTTATATACTATCAGTAGCTAATATTTTCGTTCTGTTTCAGATTACAACAAAAACCTTTCCATGGTTTAACCTCAATTCTTTCTGAACTTTAAGTTTGACTTAAACTTAGGTATTGACTGATTGTGCCAAAGAAAGATTTTCAAATTATTTTTGAAGTTTCTAATAATAATGTTTATCAGTTGGTAATAAACATTTAATTTTCTAACATTTTGGGGGACTTTGTATCTGATGACAGCTCTGCCAAAATATTTTACTGTAAACTCATTTCAGGAAAAAACTCAATATTTCAGTTAGTCTTTTTTTCACTCAAATAAGTTCAAGAGAAATTTCACATTTTGTTTTTTACAAAGTTCTTTACTTTTCTAGAAGATGTAGAATCAGTTTCTGTTCTCCTCGAAATTAGTAATGTGTGGTGTTTATTATTATTCCACTTGCTCAACCAATAGATGCTTTTTTATTTTGGAAGTGTTTACTTTGTACATTCATGATTAATAACACTTATTGTAACACAAACAAATGCATTCTGAAACAAACTTTTGTCAAGTCAGTATTCCACTGAGCTCTTATCTTGAGTCTGGCTGATTTTTTTTCAGAACTTCTATGATTACATCATAATTGTTCAAACTTTACTAGCTTTACAGCTTTACAATTCTCATGACCACAGTTTCATCTAGTGATAATTTCATTTTGCAGCTGCTCCTGATGTCTATAGTATTATGAACTTTTATAGAAAGACATGATTTATAAGAAATGGTCCTGTAACACTTTGAAAATGTTGAAAAAGTCAGATGCCTATGAAACTTTTGTATAAGAGTTAATAAGCACAAAATTCAGCATTGAGCCTATCTCTGAAACATTAGATATGGATTTCTTGGAGTGGGTCTATTTTATTTTTTCTTGGAGACTTGATTCTTTCCTGACATGAAACTAACTCCATCATACAATTGTGTGATTATCGATATATCAGTCATATTGCTACTTGTCTAAAAACTTCTTTTAAACATGTGTAATGTGATGATAAGATATAAGATGATGCTCTGGAGTTGGAAAATCCCTAAAATGAATTTTTGGAGATTTTCCAATTCTAGGGCATCTCTAGAAATGAACAATACACTAATTAATTAATCTGGGAATCAAAATTTTTGGTGTTTGATATAAAAAGATCATAGAAATTAATTGCAGAAATGAATAAATTCAAACAGAAAATGTAAACAAACCATAAATTTTAGCACAAATTTTTAATAGCTGATGCTTTTGACCTTTTTTAAAAGCCCTTCATCAGGCTACAGTACATTGAACATCAAAAACATTCACAAAATGTCAACAGATAAAAAAAAAACACAGTATCTAAATGTAAAAACAGTGTGTGTGTTACAACAAACTTGGAATAGAAAAATTTATAAAATGTAAAAATTTTAAAAATGGGAACAATTGATTTATATACCAAATAATAATGACGTGAAACAAAAAATAATAAGTAACAATAACAATAAATTAATGTATCAGTAATAATAAAAGTATAGGTATACCTCACCTTAGGTCGGTAATTGATTCCCGGAAAGCGACGTAAGTCGAATTTACTTGTCTCCGAATCTACTTGTCACTAGGCTAAACCATAAATTACCATTTCCGGTTCTGTATTTTATTTATTAATGCATTTTTAATAATATATGGATAATAAGGATCTATTTTAAGCTTACAAACAAATAAATTTCAGTTTTTTAATATAGTACAGAAAAAAGTAATCTAAATTTACGAATGCATGTACTGTAAATACAGTACATACTTGTAAATGTATATATTTTAATATGATTTTATGTGCTTTAAATGCTTTTCTAGTGATATTACAACTTAAATATTTGTGGCGGACAGACGTAAAGTCGAATAAAATGACTTAAACTTGATTTTTATTTTTCCATATACTTTTTTGACAAACGATGTATAATCGGGAACAACGTAACTCGAAACGACATAAGTCGAGGTATACCTGTATAGAAATAAAAATTACAGTACATAGAAGAAAATCTTTAGTTATCATTGTGTTTATATTATGTTTCAGCAGAAATCTTATTGAGTTTATCACTACTTTTTAAAGAATAAAGAGAATACTTTTTAAAGAGAATAAGAAAAATAAAGGAAATATGACAGATTTTAGAAACAAATCTGTAGATTTATTATCAAAAATAATATAAATAGAAACAGGTTTGCTTATTATGGAATTACTTTAGAATTCAATAACATGTTTTGGAAAGTTTAAAATACTATCAAATAAATACATTTTATCTATTAAAGAATGGTTTGTTTTAACAATGATCAAGTTAAACATAATATATAAAAAAAAATTTTAAGCAGTATTTAATTGTTTAGTTTAACATATTCTATTTTAATAGTGCAAACAACAGCAATATTACAGCTATATTATATGCAGTTACGTAATTCATTTAATAATTAGCCTTATACTAGCCCGATAGATTTTCGGCATTCAGTTGGTGTGTAGCTTTATTATATATCGGGTTTAGCGATGTTTGTATATATTAAGCCTTGCCGGGGCTTGCGATGGCCGGTTGAGTGCTATATGCAATTCTTTATTTTCCTAGTAATGAAGAAATTGTGAAAAATACGCCGAAAATTTCAGTTAATTGTATTAGATTGCAATGAAATTTCATTGGCCTAATCAAAATGTTTGAAATATGCTATCAACACCTATTCGTTTTATAAAAAAAAATTTTACTACAAAAATTTAATTGCCTTAAATGCAGATTTAATAGCATATAATGGGAAAGAGTGTATAGGTAGGACTTCATGTAAGAAAAGTTTTTTGCAAAATAGAGTTATAGATTTATGATTAACTATCCTTATACTATCAAAGAATTGTTTCATTAATAAAATTTGTGAAGGAAAACTTATTCAACTTATAAGACCACCATTCAGAAGTAATAAACCGCTTAGCAAGAATGATGATGGAAAAAATAAAACAGTTGCAGTAGCTAAAATTTATGTTGAAAGAATAATTGAACATTTAAAAAATGTATAAAATATTGATGAAAATGTTGTGGAACTTAATTCCTGTAATTGATATGACTATAATTGCAGAAATTATAAATTTATATAATAATGTACGTAAATATTTTAATATTGTACTGTATGATAATTATTTTTAAAAAATTATTCCCAAGAAATTTTAATATTTTATTTAATTTACTTAAGAGAGAAAGGAGGAGATTAACATTTAAATTACTGATTAAACTTGACTAAAGCCAAACAATTCACCATATAAGATGACTTCAGAAGTTTACAAAAAATACTAAAATACATTCTAAACATTTAAGGAACCAGAAAATTTTTAAATT